GAGGGCGTCAAAGTGCTCCGTCACCTGCGGTCGGGATCGGGGACAGATCTGGAGCTGGAGCGAGGGAGATGCTTTCAAGGCGCCGTGTGAGTCACCTCCCCCGGCCGCGTGGCGCCGCCGTAGGGCAGCAGCAGGGCCGGAGCGGAGAGCGCGTCGGCCCCCCGCGTGGCGGCGTAGGCGCGCACGGCGCCGAGCAGTGCAGCGGACCGCTCCGGCGCGTCGCGCGTGAAGACTTCCCCGCCAAGGGCGAGGCTGTCCAACACGACGCAAGCAAACCACTCGGCCCGGGCGGGAAGCACGCCGGGCTCGGCGGTCACCGCGAGCAGCGTCTCGAGCAGCGCGAGCGCAGAGTCCACCGAGGCGACGCGCGCATTGGCGAGCTCGATGGCGAAGCGGCAGAAGGCACGGATCGAGAAGGTCGCGTGCACGTCGAGCGCCTCCTGCAGCTCGCGACCGAGCTGCGCGACAATGTCGGCCGCGACCACTCCGTCCGGCTCGCCCTGCGGGTTGGCAGCGAGCAGGCCGCACAGCGCGCCGTAGATGGGCGCCTTGGGCTGCAGGCCGCGCACGCAGTCGAGGATGGTGTCATAGATGAGCGTGCGCGACGTCGGCAGCTCGGCGGTGAGCGCCGCGGCGAGGCCCCGGAGGTGCGAATTGAGGTCGGCTATCGAGCGGTCGCCGATGCGGACGATGAGGTTGACCAGCCGCTTCTCGATGCTCTCCTCCTCGGGCTCCTCGCGTGCGCGTTTGTTGACCGGCATGTGCTGGAGGCGTGTGCAAGAGGCGTGGAGGCAAAGTGTTTTTCTTTTTCTCTTCGGGAAGTATCGGAAGTAAAGCCCTTCGGGAAGTAAAGCCCTCCCAGGGTGCGAGGTTTCCTGAGCACTTGGAGCGCCGAAATTAGGTGCCCTGTAGGCTTGGCTGCAAAGGGGATTTTTGTTGTGCCGACTTCGATCTTCGTGTGTGCTCCGCTTCTGAGAGAGAGATTTTGAGACATGAGAGAGAGAGAGACAGAGAGAGAGAGAGAGAGAGAGAGAGAGAGAGAGAGAGAGAGAGAGAGAGAGAGAGCCGAGATAGAAAGAGAGAGATTTTGAGTGAGACGGTTTAGAGAGAGAGAGAGAGAGAGAGAGAGAGAGAGAGAGAGAGAGAGAGAGAGAGAGAGAGAGAGAGAGAGAGAGAGAGAGGGAGGGAGGGAGTACATTTCTTTCTAATTTTATTTCGCCTCGAGCTGTGCTTAAAAGTTAAATCTCTCTACAACCTCCAATCCCCGTCCTTGCTTGCGTCCCCCCATGCCGGTGTGTCCAGTCGCTGGCCAGCCTCTTCTAAACCAACACTCCCGTTTCCCAAGAAAAGAAA